CTATAATAATGATGACGACAACACACACACACACACACAAAAGACAACTCACGACACAAGACGCTGACCAGCTACTCACCCACTGCCGTCTTCTCGATCCTCTCACTCTTCTTCTTCCTCTTCCACTTCCAGGGCCGGAAGATCTTGCCCAGGGTGGACAACTTGCTCTTCCGGTCCGTGGGGGGCGTGGCCGTGGCGCCGCCCCCGGATGCGGAGGAGACGCCCCCTTTGCTGTCGCCGTTCTTTCGGGCATCTATGGACAGAGAGAGCGAGGCACGGTTACGTCCCTGGGTCTGTGGGTGGGGCGGTGGGGGCGTGGACAGTGCCTGGATGTTAGAACAGGAGGCTGACGCCTTGGGCTTGCGAAACATGACGCCTACTGCCAGTGGCGCCTATAGCTAGTGGTGGCTACCACCAATGTTACCTAGAGCTAGTGGCGCCTAATACCAATGGCACCAAGAGCAGTGGCACCTAGAGCTAATGGCGCTTACAACCAGAAACGCCTAGAACCAGAGGCGGCTCATACAACCAGAGGTGAATGCAGCCAGAGGCACCTACAGTCCTTTGGCGCCTACAACCAGTGGCGCCTACAGCTGCACCCCCACTAGTTCTCTGACTACCACCACCACCACCTCTCAATAAAGCGTGACGTGACAGTCAGCAGCACACCCTGGGGTGTATCTGACCGCCTCCACCAACACACGCTACACCGAAATACTATTCACGCTATACTGGATGATGATGACACATTATTGTATGTATACATATCCACGAAATCATTTCATTGAGTTATCCACTCGGGGAGACGAATGCCACACAGCTCACGTCATGGTTTAACGTCTCCACCGCCTGATAGCGAATTCCATTTTTAACTCCATCATAACACAAAGCCCAAAGTTTATTATTCGAATTTTGCGATCAAAGTCAGTACTACTACACTTCCATTATGAAACCTAAAACTCAACTATTTTCTCTTTCCTCCATCGTTCCTTGTGGAAAATGTCTCCCTCTGACAAGAACAGCTCACAACTGACACACAAGTTAATAAAGTTTACTCAGTCCCGTGTCCTTCTTTAAAGAACCCCTAAAAGTACACACAAATACACACAGATTCTTCAATACTGGCCTACACTCAAAGACACACTGAGGCAGATGAAAATATAAACTCTACGCCAGTGCATACTTCACAGCCCAAGAGCTACGGGGTGGGGTGGGGGAGATAATGAGGCGTCACCTCTGATTGTAACAGCATAAAGTAAAATTGTAGTGTTGAAAGTGGCGTAAAATCCATACAATTACCAATCATCACAAACGTACACAATTCTCTTACAAGAGACACGAATCCGGTTATGACGACGGGGGAAAAATACACTGTGGTTATGTCTAGTGTTAGTGGTTCAGTTAGGTTTGGACATCATGCAACACATGAAAATAACAGCAACAACAGCGACAACAACAGCAACAACAGCGAAAACATGAGCAGCAGCAACTACAACAACAACAACAACAACCTAATATCTTCACCACATATACTCATGAATACCAGAAACTAACCAGGTTTGAGTTAGATTAGAAGTGCTACTAGAAAATAGCATACAAAACGAGGAGGAAAGATAAGGAAAATTGACGTTTGAAATGAAAGAAGGAATAAATCACACACACACACACACACACACACACACACACACACACACACACACACACACACACACACACAAAAGAGCAGCCGCCCACCACCCACACCCGTGAGGTAGATTCCCGGAAGTTACGATGTTTCATTGACGCTCATCAAGCAAGTTTACCACCACGCGCTGTGACGTTCCAACTCGCTCCCCTTCTGGCCCAATCCGATTAAAAAACTGCTAACGAACTCATTATCTAGACGCTAACATGTACGCTCGCGTGAGCGGGCTTAACAGGATTGTCTTTTA